CCTTCCTTCCTTCCTTCCTTCCTTCCTTCCTTCCTTCCTTCCTTCCTGGCATTAATTCTTATCTTTGTCTTCTTTTTTTAAATTGATGTGCTGACTGCCAAACACAATTTCAGTATAATGGAATTATTATGGTTCCTTTCATCTTCAGGAAAGTGGGGAGCTGATTTGCCACATTCAATGAATTAATTAATACTGTATTAAATAAGAATTTGTGAGGCATCTTTGAATGCCTTACTACTGGATTTCAAAGCCATTCATTGCACATGAGGCTTCTGCTCGCAATTCTGAACAATGCCATACTTCTCTTGAAAGAGTCTTATTTTACATAGCTGTAATAATAACAATAGTTATGTTAAAAGTGTTGTTCGCCATTGCTAATGTGATTTTGTATGGGTTTTTTTGTTTCAAGACAAATGAATATTTTATGAAGATGTAAATGGCTATAATATAATCTGGGAAAAATGAACAGGTTTATTCCTGGTTATAGATGTTCACATTATTCTGGTTTCTCTACTCATTTCACTTCACTAATAGCCTCCTACATTCAGATTACTTAATGAAGTATTTTTTTCTTATGTAAAGTGACTGTTCTCATGGAAGTATCTACATCAGTTTCCTTGTCCTACACTCTAGCTCATAAAGTGATGAAGAAAATCCGCAGTGAAGAAGTGTGATCTGTGAACAATGCATGTACATTTTATGCAAAAGCTTCAGAATTAGAATGCAGCTATTACCAAGTCCATTCTGTGTTTTAAATGCTATATATACGATAACTAGAAGACATTTGTATATACTTTTTTATATTCAATTACCAGGGTATCATTAAATGTAATCCTTTTACATTCAATGAGCTATTTATATTACTTATATAGGGATTATTTACAAGAAAACGTTAGGGGACAATACAGATGTACTTCATGGAAAGAACTTGATCTGAACAAAGGCTCAAGCATATTTATAACTTTCCTTAGTATGGATTGGATTTTGCTCATAAGTAAAATTACCTCAGATGTGAGCTGCAGCAATCAGGGATACGGAGAGCTTATTTGTTAAGGATTCAGAGCCCTTTTCATGATACTGCAGGAGATCCGTGTCCATTTTTTAATGCTTCACTTTAGGTTATTTGTGGTGTTCTTCCTTGAATTGCTTCATTTGTTCAACAACTATTTATATAACAGCTATCAACAACTGCTCTCTGCCTGTCAGTCTAAAGAACAGGAATTAGTTGGGATTGTAAAACTCAGAGCAGCACTGGGGCATTGGAAACATCATGATCATCCCCTTGAGTCCTAAAGATGGGGATCTGGAGTAATATTTTAAAAACTGTTTTCCTGGGTTGTGCTCTTATGCTTCCTGTCGACTGCTGCAGGGTGTGAGTTTCTTTCAAAATGCTGCCCAATAAATTTTTCTTCTTCAATTTCTTAGTTGTATCATCCTTTTACGATTCTTTCCAGAAATGGGCATCTTCTTGAATAAAATGAAGATGACCTCTGTAGAAACAATCATGAAATGCTCAGGATGTAAGAAATGGGTGCCGTTGCTGAGAGGTTTGGACACACCACATGCTTACGAGCAGGCATTTGTTGTAAGCCAGCAAGAGCCAGCACAGCAGGTTCTTAGCACTGGTATGCTACTTTCCAAAAAAGCCAATAGCTGATTGAGTAAGCTATAAACTATCCTGCTCATGACCTCCTGACCTTTTTTGCTTTTCAGAGGAGCAAACTGATACAGAAAACAGAAAACAATGGTAGATTATATCTGTGTAAATGTGAGTTGTGTATGCAGATTTATGAAAGGGCGCCTAAGAACCTGTATTTGATTGTCCACCCAGATTTTTGAAAGTTTGATACATTTCCTACTGAAGATTTACTAATAGAGACAATATTTAACTTTACTTAAGATAAGTTTGTATGAATGTATGCTATATGTCTGTTTCCTGTCAAATGTATAACCAGAACAAACAGAACAGAACAATAGAGTTGGAAAGGACCTTAGAAGTCTTCTGGTCCAACCCCCTGCTTAGGCAGGAAACCCTGTAACATTCCAGACAAATGGTTGTCCAATCTCTGCTTAAAAACTTCCAGTGTTGGAGCATTCACAACTTCTGGAGGCAAGTTGTTACACTGATAAATTGTTCTGTCAAGAAATTTCTCCTTAGGTTGTTTCTCTCCTTGATTAGTTTTTACCCATTGCTTCTTGTCCTGCCCTGGGATGCTTTGGAGAGTAGATTGACTCCCTCTTCTTTGTGACATCCTCTGAGATATTGGAACACTGCTATCATATCTCCCCTGGTCCTTCTTTTCATCAGACTAGACATACCCAGTTCTTGCAACCGTTCTTTATATGTTTTAGCCTCCAGTCCCCTAATCATCTTTGTTGCTCTTCTCTGCGCTCTTTCTAGAGACTCAACATCTTTTTTTATATCGTGGCGACCAAAACTGGATGCAGTTTTCCAAGTGTGGCCTTACCAAGGCATTATAAAGTGGTACTAACCCTTCACGTGATCTTGATTCTATCCCTCTGTTAATGCAGCCTAGAACTGTCATATTTAAGTTTTTTTGGCAACTGCAGCATACTGCTGGCTCATATTTAAATGATTGTCCACTAGGACTCCCAAGATCCCTCTCACAGTTAATATTAAATCAACTAGATATAATCTATTTTAAAGTAATGATGCCATTGGGTTAGTAAAATAAATGAAACATAGTAAAAATTATCAGTGTGTTAGTAATTAGTAAATTATAATAGCAGATGAAACTTTCCTTTTCATGGCTTGTTGTTTAAATTGCTGTGAACTGGTAAAGTGAATGTTTAAAAAAATGACTATATATTCTTCAGAGATGCATCTTCAAAAGAAATGTTTCGTAGATGATCATCTCAATAGTCCTTGGATGTCCAGATTCTTAAAGAAAGAGGCACTAAAGAAGGCTGTTGTTTCTTTGTAAGGGCCTTTGCTGTGTTATTTATTGTAAATTGCTCTTTCAGTAATGGAAATAATGCCCTTTGGATAGTAACATAATAGTTGTACTTTTGCTTGATCTGCCACTTTATTTTTGACATGAAGCAATATGCTGAATGAAAATAATCATTTCTGAGACTGAGCGCAGGTCATTTCAGGAGAAATTATGCTATAATGCATCTTCCAAACAAATAATGAAATAAGAGTATACAAATTTCAGTTTAGTTCACTGGTCCCTCTTTATGGCCTTGCTCCCAGAGTTAAAAGTTCACAATCCAATAGAAAAACTAGAGGGAAAAAGGTGGGGGAAATACTTTCCTCCCTCTCAAATATAAGTGGTTTGTTTAGAAGCTATGACAAATATGTCTTTCATGAGAAATGCCCTTGAGTGATAGATAAGGAGTGCTCAGTTTTTCCCAGATACAAGAATGGCAGGCTGGAGGTTATATTTCTAAATGGTAGATGGATACTGGATAAACATCAAACATGGTTTAATTTTCTTTACATTTACATTAAAGACAACTAAGAGAATTATTCTTCAATTGCATATTTAATTTGTCTTTTTGTCAGTTAAAAAAATAGAAATTAACCATGGATTCAAGACTGCTTCTAAGGTTTTTGAGAAGTGATAAAGTTCATGGATTGAAGGTCTTACATGCGCTTTTATGTCATTAATTCCTCTGAATCTTAACACCCCTGTATTAAATATTTCAATGGTTTTCTCCCTTCTACTTCAGTTAGATGTTTTAAAAGTTATACACAAAATGGTCAGATTACTGAGTTGTCTACTTTTCTGTTTTCAGCAGAAAAAAATACAGCTTTTTGAGTGCATTTCTTTTGCAACCAGTCATTTTTTTCTCCAGTATTTCAATTGTGTTTTTAGCCATTCATAAAACTCTGACTTCTTTTTTTATGTATCCATAATCATTTATATATCCAAAATATATTTATAAATCAATATCTTAGGCATATTGACAAGTGTTCTGTTTCCCAAAGCAGCTCTTTTACCTGAAGATTTGTTTTGAAATCATGTATCAGAATCATTTGTATGAAATAGGAATGTTTATTTTTTCTTACTTTAACACTTTTCTGTACTATTGGTTGAGTGAACCTTTTCAATATACATGTGTAGAATAGTGCCACAAGTGCAAATAGAAAGGTTTCTGTTTAAAATGTTCACCTTATTGAGATATAAAGACTCCAAAGTGTGAGCTACATATCTCTTCCTCAGAAAAAAAAATGCCATGGAAACATAGCCCACTGGAGAGTCCTGGCTATTATGAAGTCAATGTGGTGCATAAACAAAAGTGTACAAGTATCAAATGTCTATTTGCACTAGGAAAATCAAACATTGCCTACTTCTCTGATCAACAAAAAGCAAAGATATAAAGCGCCTATAAACTTGGATTTCAAAAAAACAAATTGGTTGAATTATTCAGCCTTTCCAGAACATCAGCCAGTATTGACTAAACATTTTCTTTATCTGATCATTACAGGATGGTTCACTCCACATCCATCATAATAAGTCTGTCATTTACTCTCCAATTTCAAAGATATATGATCATACGTTTCTGGCAGATGGTTCATTTTATATAACTCATGCACTAGAGATGTCTAGAAATCAGTTATGCTCGGTAGAGAGAGAGGTCTTAAGTTTTTAATTCCTCTTTCACATTTGAAATGACTATATGTGTTGTAAATACTGACATGCTTTAGAGTTCTCAGAAGCAAAACTTGGTTTAAGTGTCACCATACTTAGTGCTTTTATATACAATGCAATAGATCTTCAGGAATATGTTAATTATCCAGGTCTGTGTTTCTTACAGTGGGATGTTTACACAGTGTATATTGTCTTTCACATTATCATAGTTAACATTTCAATGAAACTCAGAAGTACTAAGGTAAAACATAATGTCCGTGTTTTGATAGTGGCATCCAAACAGTTTGCTCTGTATCTTAACTTTCAAATCCTTAATAGCAGATCAACTGAAGCACAGAATGCTTTGAATTGCATGGGCAGGTGAATCTCTCCATTTATGACTAGTAGAAAAGCCATTATTTATAGAGGTGTCAGATGAAACAGTTGTGCATCCCACTCTGCAGCTGAAACAAGACACACATAAAAGGCAACAGATGCCAATCAACAGAGGGAAGATTGTAAGGATCCAGAAGAGTGTATTTCCATTGTTAATGACATGCTCAGATGGGAAGACCTTTTATCAAATGTTTTCTTGAAAGAATTCTCACATATCTGTCAACAAAATAATTGAGCAAGAAATTGTGTTTATCCATTATTCATGAACATTTTTAACATGATGAAATTTATTAAAATTGCATGCAGTTTGGAGGTATTTGCCATTTGCATGATTTCCAAGTGACCATAAGCCACGACTAAATGCTGTTCGATGCTCAGCATTTACTTCCTTGGGCCTGATGCAGCTGTTCATCAGAATTCACAAAAAGCTTACAGTGGCCATTTTAAAATAACCCTTTGACCTTTCCTCCATCTTGAGATACCAGTAGTCCCTCAGCAACCATCACAAAGGAGATGTGAATAATTTTTCTGCATTTTACAAAGGTGGAAAATAACTAATATACTACAGTGCAGTCGACAAGCAGAATGTGGGATTGGATTGAATTGTAGACGGATTGTTGGCTGGTTTACAATACAGTCTCTCAGCTTCACGCATCTGAAAGAATGATTGTTAGAATGAACATCCCATATCTGTATTATGAATGGAAGTCTTAGCCATGAATAATTTGTTCTACTCCGTAGGGATTTTTGTAGAAAATCACCCTATTGGGCAGCCTGCAATCAGGGTATAATAAAGGGCTACCACATGAAAGAGAAATAGTATTTCATGAAGTTATAAAGTCAGTAGTGGATTTTGCACCATTTCATTGATAATGTTCTTGACATGCTCAGAAGTATACATTACATGCCCCATCATCTTCATCAACCTGGGATCTCCTTGCAGATAGATAGGCATCACAATCCAACATATCTGGAGAATATCAAGTTGGGTGAAGTTGCTGAACACATTCACAAAATATAAGCATGGCTGTTGCAAAACCAACATCCCCCATCATAAATGTGCTCAGAAGTGTGCAGCAAATGAATGAGGAATCATTGCATTGTATCTTTCTTTTTTAAAAATGCTGTGTTACAGTTCCCTGTGACTTCTGTTTAAATGGAGTTAAAACTTACACTCCAGGTAAGTGAATATAGGATTGTAGCTATAGATGGTAAATGCTATATACTAAAAAGATCAAAACAGATGCATGTTGAAAAAAATGAGTTGTTTATTAGTATTAATGAGTAGATAAAGTAATGAATGAACTGAAATGTGTTATATACGAGACAGTATGCTTGCTAAGAATAAGATAATTTAGTTTTATTGCCTATTATTTAAAGGTGTGTTTAGTTCAGTGTTCTTTCATTTTAGTCTACTGTGAACAACATACATAACTACAAAGATTTTATAACCTTTAAAAAATTCCCTATAAGTATTCCTATTACAGTTTCTACTACTTTCTGTTTTTTCTGTCTGTTTTAGAGACTGGCAACAAGAAGCTGAAAAGCACGATACAAAGAAGCACAGAGACAGGAATGGCAGCAGAAATGAGAAGTCGCATGGTCCGGCAGCCCAGTCGGGAGTCAACCGATGGGAGTATGAACAGTTACAGCTCAGAAGGAAAGTGAGTTGAAGCCTCTGAAAACCAAACCCCATTATATGTGTCAGATGAGCAGGTGATTTATGACAACGTTGGAAGGTTAGGGTTCCCATAGTGTTGCAACAGGAGGCAGATCAACTGTTGCAACCAGGCAGGAGAGACAATCTTTTAAAGGAGAAGGAAGGATAAAACAGATTTCGAGCAATAGTGCCTATATAGGACAGCAGAGGAAGATAAATTGGGACAAGGTTGACCTAAAAACCCTGCTGTCTCATTGAGATGAATTGAGTGGGAATTGTGGTTGCTCAGTAGGGAAGAAAAAGTGCTTTGGAGATTCTCTTGGGTGATTCTGCTGATTCTCGAAGATAAAATATCCCTGGTTATGCTCTGGCAAGACTTGCTGCCTAGGATTGGAAGATCCCAGGGGGAAACTTTAGCCTAAATTGCTTTTTTAATATGTGATAGCTCTAATAGAGGCTTCAGGTAATTTCAAATACTATAATTTTATTTCAAATATGGAAGTTCTGCTGAGGTTTTCAGTTTCCTTTTAGCCAGACATTTATCAAAACTGGAACCGCTATGATGCAGAAAAGAAGCAGCCTCAAGATGGAATCTGTTTTTCAATCTGATTTTTTTTTTTACTTTGGTAAATGTACATTGTGACAAGCATACTTAATAAATAATCTGGTCATCTCTGAAAACAAGATAAGATTGTTGTTCAATCAATTGGCTGTATTAATCCAAACCTGTACATATTTAATAAGGCCCTTGGTCCTAAATATGTTGCCAAAATCTGCTAATGTTGTCATGATAGGACACCAAATTTGGGGTTCTTTTATGTATTGAAAAGAACATAAAAGAAATTGAAGGAATGTTTTCCCCAGCTGTTTTGGGACTGGAATGGGTGCACACCATTTTTTTTACCATGCCTAAGATCTTGGGTTGTCACCATCTGTTTTGAGACCAAGGGAACAATCGACATGCAGAGCTTCTAGAAAAAAAATGAGGATATTTCTTTATTGTCTTTACAATTATCTAGACTCAGCATATCCAGAATGCTGTCTGGACATGGTGGGAATTGTAGTTTGGAATACCTGATGTTTTCATTTGAACTCAACATTTACAGTGGGGTTCTGTTTCCATAGAACTAATATTGTCCTATCTTATGTGACAATTTCAGAAATGAGTAAGTTTTCCAAAAAGAGGTTCAAGAAAATGAAGGTTCAAGAAAATGGCAATGTGTTCTACATTCCATAGGTTCATCCATAGCTGTACATTTGAAAAAAGAGCCATGCCAAAATAATAGCCAGATAATATGAATTATTTTTTAGCCCTTCTACTGTGTTTTTGTTATAGTCTAATATTTCCTGGAGTTCGACTGGGTGCTGATAGTCAGTTCAGTGATTTTCTAGACGGGCTTGGACCGGCTCAGCTAGTGGGACGACAGACTTTAGCAACTCCTGCCATGGGTAAGAGTAGATTTCTTTTACCTGTAAAACAGATTAGCCATTTAAAAAATGTATTGTTTGAGAACAGGGTTGTCACATCCTTATCTAATTAAGCAGTTTTTAAAATGTGTCCCATTTTTCATCCATTCTGTATGTATAGCTATGTGCTGGGCCATTTCTATAGTGTATGTAGTAAGTTGATGTTCCTAAATATTTTAGCCTGGACCATAAATTAATTGCGTAAAAGGAAATATTAAGGTAATTTGAAACAGGTGGGTTGAGTTCCTTTTGTGACTTTTGCAATATTTCTCTGTACCAGATTGTACTACAAAGCTCCGAGGTTTATTTTCCTTTTTTAATTAGGGTATTTTGGGAAACTTCTCTTACATGCCAGTGATATAAATCTTGTTCTAATTGTAAAAACTCTTAAGCTGTTGTTGCACCCTCTACTGATGCCCAGTGGGTACCAAACAGATTTTAAAAATGTGTAGGGCAGGACATGACTTTGGAGCGTGTTCTCTGAAGTGTTTCCGGCTGCCATTTTTATTATTGCCAGTCAACCAAGGCTATTACATTTAAATCTATTGTTCTGTTTATGTCTTTGATGTTAGACTAAATTACATACTACATAAGATAAATTGTGCCAGTTAGCTAAAATGTAAGTTAAACCAATTGAAAAAAGGTAGAAAATTTAGCAAGCCAGGATGGAAGTGCTTAATAAAATAATAAGTAGCACAATTTAAGGTACACTATAAAACTAATTCCTTCCTTCCTTCCTTCCTTCCTTCCTTCCTTCCTTCCTTCCTTCCTTCCTTCCTTCCTTCCTTCCTTCCTTCCTTCCTTCCTTCCTTCCTTCCTTCCTTCCTTTCTTCCGTCGATTAATATGATAACTCTATCTCTGTCTTAGGAGATATTCAGATCGGAATGGTGGATAAGAAAGGACAGTTAGAAGTAGAAGTCATTAGAGCTCGAGGCCTAATACAGAAGCCTGGCTCTAAATCTACCCCAGGTAAGAAAAGTTCTACCTAGCCAAACTTTGATGATGCCATCTGGGTCCACATTTTTCAGACTGTGCATATGACATATAGCTGTGAATAATTCAATGTTCCAAAATATGGATGGAACACTCAAGCACTGCTCTGTGCACCAGAACTGTTGTATATATCCAAGGGCATCTGTCAGAAGGGGCCCAAAAAGTCAAGATGGTGGCAGCAAATGCACAATTGAAGACCCACCCATCCTTTGTGTGTGCTGTGTGGGCTTCAATCACAAGGATGTGGCCACCAAGTCAACCTTTTGAGGAAGTGCCATGCATGGCCATTCTTGGAATGACAGATCTAATACCCAAACATCATATCTCCTATAATTATTGCTACAAGAATAATTAGAGAAGTTATGAAAGAGTGCGTAAGGGGAGGGAGCTTTACTTGATTCTCCTAATACTAATACTCCTAACACTTGATTCTCCAAATACTAATACCAAGATCATAAAATGTGGTAGATGGTTACAACGTTTTGATCATGGTATAATAAGCATGGCACTGTTTAACAGAATTACCTAATGAACCATTTGGGGTTGGACAAATATGATTGTATAAAACCATATGTTTTATTAACACTTGTCCCTTCAGCAGGCAAAACAACTTATGATTAAATCTGGTTTATGATTTTCATCAATTTCTCTATACATACACATCATACTGGCTATAAATCCAATAGATGTTGCCAGATGTAGATAAGAAGTTAAATTGCAATGCTTTTTTATTATAAGAATAAAGTTCATTCTATTATATGAGACTTAGCTACATATAGGATTGCCCTGTGTACTTCCTCATAGAACAGATCACAAAAGATTATCATAATTTAAGAAATATTATGATGCAATACACTATGCATAATACACATTTCCAGCATCATTAAGAAGTGTACAGAGCAAGTGAGGGATGCCCTGAAGCCAAGTAACCAAAGTTTTTAGTGCCATTCTCATCTTTTGCACAAGTCAGTAACTTGTCATTTCCTATCAAGAAGAAGCTCAAATCTCTGAAAAGAATCCCTGATACAATGAGAACTATTTCAGACATGCCTATTGGAAAAAGGATAATTTTCTAGCTGAGTTTTTTTGTGCTAAAACAAGAAACACTAAATACTGGCAAGAAGATTGCTACCTCTTAGGCATTCTTTCCTGATTCATAATTAATCATTTGTCTGTATGATAAAGAGATAGAGAGAGACATGAGAGTCAGTTTGGTGTAGTGGTTAAGGCATCAGGCTAGGAATCTGAAAACCGTGAGTTCTAGTCCCGTCTTGGGCACAGTTGACTGACGTTGGACCAGTCACTGTGTCTCAGCCCTAGGAAGAAGGCACTGGCAAACAACTTCTGAAAAACCATGCTATGAAAATTGCAGAGACTTGTCCTGTATCTAATGATCAGACACTATTGAAGATCTATTTATCTATCTGTATGTTTATCTATCTATCTCTATCCATCCACAATCAGTAGGTGGAACCTTACATTAACCTTTCTTTCTGATTTTCAGTAGAAATGTTAAGGATTAAAGCATACAGAATATTCCTATGCTTTTGTCTAAATATTTTCCTGGTAAATCTTAATAATTCATGCGACCATGCCAATAACTAAAAATATATTTGAGTTTCCAAGAGTTATAACAGATTTATACTGCCATAAGATGTTGTGTGCACTAGAGGAGAATTCTAGATGTTTGGTTCATTACATTTTTTTGTAACTTACCAGTTGCCACTGCTGTTTTCGTAAACACGGTGGTAATTTAAATTAATTTCTTATTACAGTACAAATGCCTTACAATAAGGGAGTTACTAACTTAAGTTGTAAAAACATGACATATTTATATTTTGTAGCACCATATGTCAAAGTGTATCTGCTTGAAAATGGGGCATGTGTAGCTAAGAAGAAAACAAGGATTGCCAGGAAAACCCTTGATCCCTTATACCAACAGACATTGGTTTTCGATGAAAATTCACATGGTAAAGTCCTTCAGGTCAGTAGATACTTTTATCTTGGTGCAGCCTATGATCACTATCAATGATACCAACTGAAAACCAAACACTCCGGCATAGTTAGAGCTAAATTCAACTCAGAAAATATGAGAGTCCTTCTGTGCAGGAGATGGGTGGTTAATAAATTTAATGTATAAATAAAATAAATAAATGAATTTTGTATCACTGTTTTATAGAGTAGCATATCGAAACAGTTATTAGAAGATTGTCCTTTCTTGGGTGAATGACATGACAAAAAAATGGGTAGAATAGTTGATGTTTCATCAATGACAGGAAATGGTCTTAGAGCTTAATGAAGTTAGATTAGTGACCCATTTGAGTCATGGGGCAAAAGAGAATAAAGATCTCTAGTTATAGGAAGCGAAAAGAAAGAGAGATACAGTGATTTGGCTGGAAGAAATCTGAAGTTTTAAAATCCAAAGGATTTCTTTTGGATCCAGTAAGTGATTGCCTCCAGTTTATATAATATACAGTACAAGATGTAATCTCAGAATAGCCTTGCAGATCAAGTGGTCCTTTGCTGTTACTATCCCAGAAGGTGATAAAGATCTAGTTTATGATTTGTATTGCTGTGTGTGTGTTTTTTAAATGTATGGTCCAGATTGCATTTTAATACTGTAATAAGGAACATAAGTCAATCAGAGTCATTTCTGATTGGAACCCCATGTAAGCCTAAATAATTAAATAAGTAAGTCAATAAGCAAGCATTAATTCTGCCTGTTGTCTTTGCAGGTGATAGTATGGGGAGATTATGGCCGAATGGATCACAAGTGTTTCATGGGAGTTGCACAGATCTTGTTAGAAGAACTTGATTTATCCAGTGTGGTAATAGGCTGGTATAAATTATTTCCACCTTCCTCCTTGGTGGATCCAACATTGACTCCTCTGACTCGCAGGGCTTCCCAGTCATCTCTGGAAAGTTCAACTGGGCCTCCCTGTATTCGATCTTAATGAACGTCAAGCAGGAGTCCTCTTAACAAACTCAGTGTCACTCAAGGCAATCAGTGGGAAGGGGAATAGCTATTTGCAACAAGGAGGAACAGTTTTGAAAAGAGACAATCATCACATCAATTTTGCCTGTAGTAGTTGATCCAAAAATATGTCTTGAGTTGGGTATTAAAAAAAGACAGCTTAAATTGATTGAGCAAAGCAGTATATGAAAATATAGTCAATCCATCTAGCAAAATGACCCTGACGTTTACCCTAATCAGGATTTGAAGGAGGACTTTTGAGATTCAACTGGAACTACCATTCTTCAACAGTGCCCCTGTCCCATTTTGTTTCTCAGCAGAAACCACAAGCAGTGTTAACATCCTGATATTTCTGTATTGTTACCTCTCCTACTTCTTTTTTCTATGTTCTCCTGCCAGTTTTGTAAAAAAAAATCTTCTTGATGCTAACAGAGACTCTTCCTTTCTTTTTCTAAAACAAAAACAAAAAGGGCTGAAGTATATCTCTGTAAGCATCTCTGAAAGTGTTCATTTGCAATCCTGCGATGCCAATAGCTGTCCCATTGTTCCTCCTTTCTGGTTGTCCACAATCTTAATTAATAGGTGGGGAACTAGAATAAATGGCCAACTTATGGTTTACTTTTGCTTCTTATTACAGCTTGTTACTGTTGTAAAAACAGAATATATTTGCATTATGCATCAAGGTGGTTTTTTTTCCTGTTTTTAAGAGTTTGCATGAAGGAAATCTAAAGCTGCATCTATTGTTAACAGACTTTAAAAAAAAAAACCAACAAGTTTTGGCTTGGCTTTGGATTTAATTTTAATATACTGGCCATCATTTTTGTAAAGTGATTGTTCTACCAGAGCTCATTAGAAAAGTCATTAGAATCATATCATATACATATAAATATTGATTGGGAAAATATTGAACATCTAAAACTTTGTATTGTTATCTAGAATGTTTGAATTCTTGTGTTACTTTTGAAAAGACTTAGCTCTCCCCTTTTAGAGCTTGGTATAAATTGTTCAATTTTCCACTGAATTTTTTAATAGTAATTTTATTCAAATTTACAATTAAAAAGACAAAAACTAATAGGAAAAGGAAGGAAAAATAGAAAGTACAGAAAATAAAAAGAGAAAAATGGGAATATAATTAAGGAAAGAAATATATTAAAAAATTACTTTCCCTTTATCACAAGTATAAACAATTTTAATAACTTATCTTCTTTAAAATACAACAAATGATTTCTTTTTCCCACATCCCATCTCTTATCTATGAAAAAATCCTTAAAGCCTCATCAATCAAGTCTGATCCATTAAGGTTTGCCACAGATAACTAGATAAACCATTTCTTCCCTTTATTTTAATAATCTTGGTCTTAGGCCCTTCAAATAATACCCTAGAACTTGATTTCTTTTCTTTTCTTTTTCTTGTCCCTTCTCACAAAATTTTTCAAAGCTTTAACAAGTCTCTCTAGTATGACATCTTTTTCCATAACATTCTTGCAGCCTCTCATTTTTAAATCTACTTTCAATCTTTTCCAGTAAAACATGTTCCTCTTCCATGACATCTTTCAAACACAGTCTGTCTATTGAGGCAGACATTCTTAAAATTAACTGCTGGATCCATTGTTCAAAAATAACATTCAATATGCCCAATGTTAAAGTATGTTCCTTTATTCTGCATTAATACGTTGATTTTAAGTGTTCTTTATCTGTAATCTTCAGTTCTTTCTGGTTTCCTCTAGTATCCAATCTTCAAAGTCTCATCCTATCATGTTTCTTTTAAAAAAAGAATTCAAAATAAAGGCATTTTCCACCAGAAAGAATTCTTGTAATTAATTCAGAAATCTAATTTTAAATCCATCTGGACCCTGAGTCTATTTGTAACTTTACAAAATCAAAGTTCTTATCACCATTTCAATGTTTATTTCACTGAGAATTATTTGTCATTGAAAATTCCAGTTGAACTATTCTGCACTTATGAATGCTTTTTTTAAACTTCAGTTTACATATCTTTGAGATTGATGCAAGCACAAAGCTTGATTGTTTTAAAACAAAATTACCTCGTGGGTCGGGGGTGGGTGGGTGGGAGAGGTATAGTTAAAGGAAGAAGAATAAATATACTTACATTTTATTCATTCAAGTCAGCCTTTCCCAACCTGGTGCTTTTGAGATGTTTTTGGACTGCAACCCTCTAGGAATATGCTGAGTTTAGTCCCAACAGAAACTGAAAGTCAACAGGTTGGTTGAGGCTGATTTAGATTCTTTATGGCCTTGAAATCCATTGTGATTTTTTTATGTTTTTGTTTTTCTTGTAAATGTGCTTTAAAATGCCCTGTAGAATATGCAGGTGCATTGAGATGTTTTTGTTCCTTTTAGGGTGATCTCACAAAATAGAGCAGCATGACCAGGAATTATTCCAAGCTGCATGTACATTTTTGTAAAAGAAAAAGAGGGGAAGGGGGGGAAATGGAGTGGGGAGGGGAAAAGAAAAATGGGGGGAAAGAAACAAAAGAGTTTATTTAATAATGTATGTTAGTTCTACATAGGCCAGGTTGTATGTTGCATGTACTTGTACAGTTTGCTCGTAATTATGCTAACGAAGTAACCAAGAAATCTAAGCCATCCATTTTTTTCTTATAGACATTTTGCAGGTTTCAGCCAGGCTATGAGTTAGTCTGGTGCTTAATGTCTATAGATGGACTTTATTTTTTACCCTATGGAAAACGTGATGTAGTACGGACCAAATTCCTTCTAATAAATATTTTGATGTAGATTCCTACTGTTGGGCTGTAACACATGTAGAAACTGTGTACACAATTATGTTTTCCTTCCTAGACATAACTGCCTGCACCAAGTGAAATATTTATTATTATTACTATTATTACTATTATGATTTAATATTGCCAGAACTATTCTGCCCATGTTTCCATGGGGCACATGGAATGATTACTGCTCGACCTGCTGAGCAGGAAGAACTGAAGCATTGGTGCACTGACTAGATTCTGTTTTGTCTTTTAGTGGCCAAATAAATAAATGATTCGGTAGTATCTTTCTATTTTGACCACTTGTCTTAACATCTCCCTGTGCTTTTAAATGAACTTCCAACTCATGTTCTGTAGACATGTTTAATAAAATTTCCTTTTCATGTTCAGTTGCAGTTCTTGCCTTCTGTTCAATGCGTACACAAGTAAAATTGATTCCTAGCAACATTGACTATTGTATTCCGGTGGGTTGGACAAAGTATGTGTCTTTGGTACCCATGCATTCATTTGGTGCAGGGGTGGGTTTCTACCGGTTCTGTCCACCTCTGTAGAACCGGTAGTTCTGAAGAGCAGCAGACATGGAACCGGTTCTATGTCTGCTGATGTTTTTGCCCACCCGCCCACCTGGGCTGTTACCTGACCTTTATTTCTTGATTTTTCAACTTCAGCTGCCGAACGAGGCACAGGTTTGGTGCCCTCTAAAGGACTTCTAAAAAAAAGCAATATGTCAAGATCCATAACAACCTCAAGAATCTACATGCAAGTAGATTGCATTCCAGGATTTCCCAAACATTTTAAAATGCAAAGTGCAAAGATGGCAATATTTATATAAAGAGATAGAAATAGATATTAGATAGGAGTAGAGTGGATTTCTCCCTGGAAGGCCAGGCCTCCACACCCTATTCCCCCAGCTCTTTGTTACTTTTCATCATTTTAAACCCTGGGTGCCTCTCTTCAGCTTCCTTTCCAATTGTTTGCTACCGATTCTCCCACTGATCAAAGAAGGCAAAGTTGGAGATAGTCCAAGAGCACAAATGCACAGCCATTTGTCTGAGTTTATGTGAGGGTTCTTGTCTGAAGCAAAGGGCTGAGCTAGAAAATCTCCCAAGATCCTTTCTAACACTAAGCAATTGGTATTAAACATACAGTATCTTTACATTCTTTTTAAAAAATGGTTGACAGGTGCTTCCAGACAAGGAGATGACTGCAGCGAGAGGCAAGGTGCTTGGAACATAGAATAATAGAGTTGGAAGGGACCTCAGAGGTTTTCTAGTCCAACCCCTGCTCAAACAGGAGACCCTATATCTGTGATGGCGAACCTATGGCACGCATGCCGGAAGTGGCATGCAGAGCCATCTCTGCGGGCAGCTCAGTACCACTGCGCATAAGCACATGCACCTCCCGCCAGCCAACTGATTTTCGGGTATTTGCCATGTGTGGATGGGGTGGTGGGACACATGCAGGAGATGCGTGCGCATGTGCAGGGGGTCAGTGGGATCATGGGGGGTCCTGCACGCATGTGCAGGGGGGCGGGGGGAGCATGGGGGGTTTGCATGTGCATTGCATTATGGGTGCAGGCATGCACGCGCGAGCCTTCAGCACGCGACAACAAAAAGGTTAGCCATCACTGCCCTATATCATTTCATACAAATGGTCGTTCAGTCTCTCTTTGTTAAGGAAAAAAACAACAATTGGAAGTTAAGGAGTTTTAACTTCCTCTTCCACCCCAAGCAGATGGACAGACAGTTTTTCCATGAACAAACAGACTGATATACATTGAGGTGCAAAAGGCAAAAAAAAATAAAGATAAGAACTTAATCAGCAGTCTGGTGCCTCTCCACATCTAAAGGCAAAAAAAAGGAAAAAAAGAGCAACAAGAAATTCCCTGACATGTAAGGTGGGAGATAGCTATCTAAGATTCAAATCCTGGGTTTGTTATATACAGCAAGCTGAATTTCTAGATCTTGTGGTAAGTGATCTTTGTTCTGGGAGCTTCTTGTATTGCAAAAAAGCAACTTACCTATCCAAGCTTTGTCTTTGACCCATACACTGCTAGCTGCTGGAGTTTCTAAAGAGAGGGAAAAAAACCCCATCACACACTGAATGAAGCTTTAAAAAGCTGTGTAGCATTTCACATAGCATTTCTCATCTAAGAGTCCTTAAAGCAACTGTATTGTTCCCAGGATTGTATCAGCAGTGCAATCTTAGGGAAAGATGTGATTGCTTTAAAGAGTTGTGGACAGGTGCTAC